AATGTGAAGCTTTTGTGTCTTAATGATATTATTATCTAAAATTTAACCAGACTATATTTTATAACTTGAAATTAAATTGTTAGCTTAATTTCTGATTTTTTTGAGATATTTAATTTTTTTTAAATATTTATTATTATAAAATTCCTTTATTTCAATTTAAAATTCTTTTTTAAATATTTAAAATATTCTTTATTTTAGTTTTAAAGAATATATTAATATATTTAATTATCTATTATTTAAAAATACTTTTTATTTTAACTTTGAAAATTATTTTAATATAGTATAATATAAATTATTCAATATTTTATTTTTTGTTATTTTCAAAATCCTTTATTGAATATATTGTCAAATTTCATTAACTTCTAACAAGTTTTATATCTTTACGAAAATTTTCTAGATAAATACGCATAAATTAATCATTTAAATTTGGTATTTTTACATTTATTATTTTAATTCTTCTTGCAAATCCTTTCTTTACAAACAGCTATTAAGCACTTTATAAATTAAATTGGTTTGATTTATCAAATGCTTGTTTTTAAATGATGGCAAACATATTTTATCTTGTTATTTGTAATATACCATAAAAGTCATATCGATTAATGAGATATAATTATATTATAATTTTTGTCTAAGATCCCTGGTTGGTTGCTCATAAGGATATTGTATATGTATAAAACTTAATAGAAATACATTTTTTACATATCATTAATTTAATTATCTTTTTGAAAATATGTCTTCATTTGAAATTCAATTTCAAGCAAGAGCTCAATAAAGTCTTTTGTATTTAGAAGTAACTTATTCCTTTTACCATTAGAACTCCTACGATGGTATTTTAACATCTTTCGATTCAATTGAAGATGAACTCTAATAACTAAAGAAAATATGCTATTAAGAAACTCCATTCAATCTTCAAATCCCATAGCCAATCAAAGTAGAGATCCCAGTCTAAATTATTCCTGATGATCTTTAAGAGATTAGGTAAAATAATATAAATCAATCTCATAGACCAATAGAACAAGAGAAGCCTTATTAACTGTTGGAAGAACTTTCAGAGATCTTAGGCCAGGCCCAAGACATTGATGAACAAATGTTCAAAGTGATTCTTTAAGTTTTGAGAAAAGAGAAGAATCTAGAACTGTTAGGATTTCTGGAAAAAACAGAGAATCAAATAAGGATAGAAGGGATGAGTAATCAAACCGAGAACCAATAAGATGTAAGGAAGTAGATAAGGATCATGATAAATATTTTGAGAAATATTTAACATCATTCTTTTTCTAAAGAAGATTATAGTACAGAAGTTTATGAGGAGGAAAGATTAAATCTTATCAAAAAGATAGCAGGTAACAAGGAAATAATTGAATTTCTCAAGTTTTTAGTATAACTTACTAATATTGATGAAAAATATATTCAATGTGGATCAAATGGATTGAATCTTTTAGTCGGTATGAAAGTAGATTTGACGAACCAATGCTTCGAAGACATCAGAATAAGGAATACGAATTTAATTGGAGCTAATTTTGCAAGATGTAACTTTAATGGATCTGAATTCGAAAATCTGGATTTAAGTGGTGTCAATTTAAATGGAGCATTACTATTTAATTGTAATTGGAAGTAGATAAAGGTCCATGAATTAAACAGATTAGATGGTCATTCAAAAGGAGTATTATCAGTATGCTTCTCCCCTTATGGAACAAATTTAGCATCTGGTAGTATTGATTAGTCAATCAGATTATGGGATGTTAAAACAGGATATTAAAAAGTGAAATTAGAAGGTCATAGTGGTTGGGTAAAATCAGTATGCTTCTCACCAGATGGAACCACTTTAGCATCTGGTAGTGGTGATAAGTCAATCAGATTATGGGATGTTAAAACAGGATAATAAAATGCCAAATTAGAAGGCCATAGTGATTGGGTAGAATCTATATGCTTCTCACCAGATGGAACCACTTTAGCATCTGGTAGTAATGATAAGTCAATCAGATTATGGGATGTTAAAACAGGATAATAAAATGCCAAATTAGAAGGCCATAGTGATTGGGTAGAATCTATATGCTTCTCACCAGATGGAACCACTTTAGCATCTGGTAGTAATGATAAGTCAATCAGATTATGGGATGTTAAAACAGGATAATAAAATGCCAAATTAGAAGGCCATAGTGATTGGGTAGAATCTATATGCTTCTCACCAGATGGAACCACTTTAGCATCTGGTAGTAATGATAAGTCAATCAGATTATGGGATGTTAAAACAGGATAATAAAATGCCAAATTAGAAGGCCATAGTGATTGGGTAGAATCTATATGCTTCTCACCAGATGGAACCACTTTAGCATCTGGTAGTAATGATAAGTCAATCAGATTATGGGATGTTAAAACAGGATAATAAAATGCCAAATTAGAAGGCCATAGTGATTGGGTAGAATCTATATGCTTCTCACCAGATGGAACCACTTTAGCATCTGGTAGTAATGATAAGTCAATCAGATTATGGGATGTTAAAACAGGATAATAAAATGCCAAATTAGAAGGCCATAGTGATTGGGTAGAATCTATATGCTTCTCACCAGATGGAACCACTTTAGCATCTGGTAGTAATGATAAGTCAATCAGATTATGGGATGTTAAAACAGGATAATAAAATGCCAAATTAGAAGGCCATAGTGATTGGGTAGAATCTATATGCTTCTCACCAGATGGAACCACTTTAGCATCTGGTAGTAATGATAAGTCAATCAGATTATGGGATGTTAAAACAGGATAATAAAA